GAAATAATGTGGTCCAGGATTTGGCGCCCAGGTAAGAATCCAGCCTGAGAGTGATGCACTACCTCGGAGGCAATCTGACGAAGAGGGGCGGAATAGGCACTAGCCAGCAGCTTATTGTCAGTATTGGATAACGTGAGAGGCCGCGTTGAGGCCGGAGGTTTAACCTGGCCAGGCTGGGTGACTTCAATGTCGCCTTTAGGTAAAAATGCGGCCAGGGAACTGTTGAACTCGGCAGGGAAAGAGCCAAACTGCAGCCCCGACAGGTACAACTGGTACAGAGCGTCAATGGCAATCCCTCCTCCCGCCTTCCAGACAGAGTATGGAATACCGTCCACCCCTGGGCAGCTGTCTTTTTTCCTGAGGACCAACATTTCGAACTGCTCGTACCGCAGCACCCACTGGGTCCCACCAGGGACAGTCTGAATGAAAGGGTCCAGAAAACCAAACTCGGAAACCTGGGACGGCACGAACTTAGAAACTTCACCCCAATATTCGGCAAGCTGCTTGGCACACTCAGACGGCTCGGTGACGGTCTGACCCGTGCTGTCAACGAGGCCGCGAAGATGAACTCGCCGATGTCTCGGTCGCCACGCCGCTGCCATTTCCTTGATACGCTGGACTCCGTTGGCTTTCTGCACTTGAGTAAGCTCTGGGTCTTTCTGAATCTCGTCCTCGTCCGAGGAATAAACATCATTCATAAGACTAGAAAGGAGGTTGTGAAAGCCAACATTGTCCGTCCATTGAAAAACGTGCCTGTCATAGAATTCTTCTAGAAAAGGCCAAGCACGGATTGCTCGCACGACGGTCTCATGTCGACCATCACGGTGCGCACGCAAAAGGGCGAGCATCCAGGCAATCTTCTGCAACGGAGTCTCGGGGCCCAGCAGTTCCGTAGCCTTCTTCACCCTCCTCACCGCCTCGTAAATCACCTCCTTCACCTCTTCCACCCTATCAGCTGGAGCCTCCGAGAGACATACTTCCTCCAGAAGCGATCGCAAAGTGTCCCCGAACTTGGGGTGTCGCGATACCCACCGCGGGATGGTAGGACGTGTGGACCTGGGAGTGGAGGTGAGAGAGACGAAAACGCAAGTGTGATCACTGGGCAACTTTGGATCCAATAGGTCCCCCATAAGGCCGGTAAGAGGGCTGAGGTCGAGGACATCGGAGGTAGGAATAGACATATATATACGATCAAGTCTTCCAAGAGAAATAACTTCACTGTGATGAACGGTTTTATGGGTATACTCAGGTTGGTGTAGTTCTAACATACTTGGGAATAACTCGTCGAAGAACTTACCGAGGGAGTTGGAGCCCATCTCAAGAAGGCCTTCAGAGAGACGCAATCTACCTTCACCAGTTGCCGAAAAGTTAAAGTCGCCACCGAGGAACGTGGTGGCAATGTTGCTGACTCGGAGCCGTCGCTGAACAGCTCGCAGAACATTTCTAGTCTGAAAGAAGGACCAGCTCGGATCTACATGCATGTTGCACACGTCCAGGTTCCCGAACTCCCCATACATCCTCAAGATCCCAATCCTCCCATGGACAACAGGGGCCAACCTGAACCTGTTGAATCGCACAGCTAGCCTTTCATGCACCATGAACACGATACCACCAGCACCCGCCGTCCCCAGGAAAGACCCCACGATTTTCCAGGACGGGTACAATTTCTGTAGCTCGAGAAGGTCTTCAGGCTCACCGTGCGTTTCTTGCAGGATTAAGATGTCGACTTTCCGAGACAAGGTCCATAATTTTGCCCACGTAGTTGATTGTACGGAGGCATTCGACCATACCGATCCAAAAAGGGTATGGGCATTCCACGACGCAATCCTCAAGCTGCTCGAAGATGGGAGGAAGGGGAGGTCTAAATACGGAGGGGCGGAAGCGGGAAAACCAGGAGACCCGTCATCAGAGGAAGAGGACGAAGACGAAGACGACGACGACGAAGACGAGGAGGACGACGAGGGACAAGTGAGGACAGAAACACTGGCAGCTGCAAGAGAATTGGCAGCCAGGCTCCTACTGCCAGCTCGCAGCGACGCCCTTGTCGCCCTCGTTGGAGGGGCAGGACGGTCAATCGCTGCACCCACAGCTGGCTGTCGGGGCTGGTGCTCATGAACGTGTGCTCGTTCTCGCACCGTAGTTTGTCAAATATACTCAGTGATCCTGCTCACCACGGCCATGACTTCCTGTTCAGGTATCTTCCACCATGCGAACGAAGCATACACGGGCTCGAAGGTGAAGCCTGAACTCTCATTACCTTTTATCCAGAACAACTCGAACGTCTCCTCCGCGGATGTCAAGTGGATGAGCCCCTGGAAGCCATTGACCCCCAAGCGGTAGTCTGAGATCTGGCACTGGTACTTCTTGAATAGGGCCAACGTGTCCTCCCATATTCGGCTGGCAGCCCTCTGCTTGGCTCGCACATCCACTGGAAGATCCTGACGAATGCGTAGGGTACACGATGTTGCAGATCGCGGGTCATGCCAGCTTAGTGTTTTACCCTTCATGTGCTCAGAGAATTCACGGGCTTTCTCAGGAGAGTTGAAGACTATACCATAGCTCTTAGAAACGCCCTTCAGTTGAGGAACAGCATTCTGCAAGATATGCTCGGGGACAAGGGGCTTCAATACATTCAGCCAGTGCGACTCCTTCTGCTTGCCAGTGATGCATCTCGGGAACGTGCCAACCCATCTTTTCGTGTCATCAATGTGCTGCCCAATTGTGGGTCCCACTTGATTTCCACCTTGTCCGTATGAGGTGCTCCCACTCGAACTTCCGCCAGATGTGGATGGCGAGGTCCTTGGGGCAGCCTTCTCGTGCTTCATGTTGGCGATCTGCGCGTTGATGGCCTCCAGCTTCACGTTGATTGCCGCCTCGACTGCTGAAGTGATAGCCCCAGACTGGGCCTGCTCGACATCGACGAGTCTCTGGTTGACTGATCGCAGGTTGGCATCATTGATACTTAGCGCTTGCCGCAACGACTCCACCTCCTGGGACATGTTCTGCTCCAGCTGCTTGACAGAGGCGTCGGTGCCCTTCACCGTGGACATGAGCTCGGCCAGCCATCCAGGTGCCCTCTGCGGCGCATCACGCGGTGTGACGCCTCGAACACTGGAGCTGGTGTCACTGCCGCCAGAGCGCATGCCGCGGCTGCGGCTCACGGACCGCTCCGTGCATGAGTGAGAGCTGTCACGGTGACGTCCTGGGTCACGAGTCTCGCTTCTCGCAGCACGTGGCGTTGGTGACGGCGTCGGCCTCTGGGACCGCAGTCCTTTGCGCCGACCCATCGCGGCAACCAAATTGAAACGAAAGGCGACGTGGTACCGTACGGTGCAAAATGCGGGTACGGTCTGTGGAAAGAGAATGCGGTGACCCCTGTCCGCTGGGCCTCTCCAGGGTCACACACGCGCGCGGCGGGCGCAGGCCACTTGAGTCGGGGGGTAGAGTTCCCGAAATGGCCTTGAGCCAAAATGGCTTGAGCCAAAATGGCTACGGAGGAGGAGGAGGAGGAGGAGGAGGAGGAGGAGGAGGAGGAGGAGGAGGAGGAGGAGGGGGAAGAGGAGGAGGAGATGGGGCGGATGGGGGAACTGCGGGGAGGCAGCGAGCTTGCGCAGCTCGCCCTGCCGGCGCCGCCGCTCCTGTGAGCTCCTCCGCTTCTCTCCCCGGGGGGGGGGGGGGGGGGGGGGCGCCCGCAGAGAGCACGCGCGCGCGTCCTCCAAAGAATGGGCGCGGCGAGCCTTCTCCTCCTCCTCCTCCTCCTCCTCCTCCTCCTCCTCCTCCTCCTCCTCCTCCTCCTCGCCCGCCTCCTCCGCCTCCTCCTCCTCCTCCTCCTCCGCCGCCTCCTCCTCCTCGCGGGAAGCGAGGAGGAGGAGGCCTTCTCGGAAGGCGCGCGGGGCTTCTCAGAAGCCCTCCGGCCTCCCGAACAAGTTTTTCTTCTGTCTTCGGGGAAGGCTCTGGAGAATCTGCCCGCCCCTTCTCGCTCCTTCCGCCCCCCCCCCGGGCACCCTGCCGAAAGGAGGCGCGGCCGTGCTGCGATGCTGGCGGCCCACGCGCGCGACCCCTGCCCCCCCACCCCCCTCCGGAGCCGAGGGGCCACGGAGCGGAGCGTGTGGGGGGCGACGTGCCGCCGTCCACAGGCGTGGCCCGCGCTGGAGCGAGGCCGCCAGGCTGAACCTGAGATCTGAACAACGGGACGCCACGAAAATATATACAGGGCAGCTTTTAATGCATGGGATTCTTAAAAAATATCGGATTTTGAATACATGACTACTTTAGGAATAAATGTATGCATGAACCCCTCGTTTTTTGATTATAAATCCCTGCATGTTTTCATGCATGATCCACACGCGGAGCATGTATCAAAGCCGGCGCTGTGTACACAGACGCACTCCGACAGACTCTGCATGTACCTTCCGGGAGGGCCGCGGAGCAGAAAATCGCTGGCCCCCAGCGGTGATCTGTGCACCGCCACCCTCCCCTGAGGCCCAGGAGCAGTCCGTTGGAGGGTGTCCGTGTACATCTCTGGCGGCGGAGAGGCTGCCAGTCCGACTCGGAACGGCGGGGGCACGGCGCCGATGCGGAAGTGTGGCCGGCGCTAATGGCGGGAGGGCCCTGCTGGGAAAACTGCAGAACGGATGCGCTTGAGGTCGTGGCAATTAAAAAAAACATTGGTGGGATAGGCGGCGGCATACCAAGGATGCCCAGTGCTCAGATTGGGCAACTCCTCAGGGATGGGACAGGGAGGATGATGAGGGAGGAGGGAGACAGACGGCGGAAGCATGAGGAATGGGGATGGTGAGCATGTGGCAAGGAGAGGAAGCACATAACCTCATGAGTGCAATCGCGCAACCTGCTGGAAGGGGGAGACGGAAAGAGAGAAAGAGAAACCGACTGCATCATGGGTAGGAGTGACCATCCGCATCATGAGAAAAGTGAGGGAATCAAGGGAGCGATGGCGTCAGCATCCTCGGGCACTCCTGGAGTAGTTCGAAAGCCCCCACCTGGCGACAGCTGCGTCCAGCTCTGGGCGATGGCGTCGTAAGCCCAAAGGTCGTCCAGCACCGTATAGACGAGAAAGTCGATGCCCCCGTAGACGAGCATGGTGGAAGTAGCCTGCAAGGCTTTCAAGCAAATAGCTCAGCTAATGACAGACAAGGTCAGAATGCACGTCGTTCATTTCTAATCGTGCTCATTTCTAATTGCGCTCGTTTCTAATTGTTCCTGGCCCCCTAGTGGCCAGGAAGAGGCCCAGGACAGAACGATTAGAAATGAAAGGATATTGCCCTCCCCCCCCCAGAAAAATCAAAGACCTTCGAATAATTAGAAATGAAGAATATGTAATGACAGACAAGGTCAGAATCTAGCTTCTAAGGGTCTTGGGAGCGGCCCCCTCATCACCCCTCCCCGCCCCTCCTCCTCCTCCTCCTCCTCCTCCTCCTCCTCCTCCTCCTCCTTCCCCGCCCCTCCTACTCCTTCTCCTCCTGGAAGGCATCTGGAGGTCCCCAGACGCCTCAGGAGGCGGCAAAGAAGCACGATCCAGGGCCTCCCCTCCTCGTCTCCATCCCCCTTCCTCTCCGCGAGGCCCCGAGGTCAGGGAGCGGGGGCTCCTGGAGCCATGGGTGTGGGAGGCTGGAGACTGGAGACCGGGCTCTCGTCCTGCCCCGGAAGGGGGGGGGGCCTTGCGCGGGTGGTGCGATTCGAGTCCTCATATTCCTCCATGGGGCCGTGAACGGGATTTATCCCCTGCCGGCTGACGGTGCCTGTCAATGTCAGTAATCTAATACTCTGTGGCGTCAGTTGCCAACCCAGTGCACCAGTACACCAAGGGTGACGGTTCGACCCGTGCCGCCGCGGTGTCACATGTGCCGCCGCGGCGTCACTCATGAGGTCGTTCCCGCTCCCCGCCCCTTAAACGAGCTCCCCAAGGACGGGAATGTAAAACCCTCCCAGCCACCTCTGTCTGCCACTTGGGGCGCAGGTGTGTGGCTGGGCCTACTCCCCTCCTTCTCCCCCCCCCCGCCTTTCTCTATGGATGGGTATAACCGCCGTCCAATCTACACATCCGGAGCAGCGGCCCTCGCCGAGAGCTGTCCAGGGGCCGCCTTGGATCGTCACCCCCTGTCGCTTTGCTTCGGCTTCGGGTCCCCCGGTCAGGCCTGCTATCCTCTTTCAGGCTTCCCGTTTCAGGTGCCACTGGGCCCTCCTCTCCTCTCTGCTCCCCGCTTCTCGACCCTACTGCTTCCGACACGCGGTCGAATAAACGCTGCCCCCCGAGTCATTCCCCCAGCTGTTATCCCACCCCATTGGATAACGAACTCGTAGGGCATATCCAGTTTCGGTGTCGAAACTTTGTATGCCGTTTTCGGACGCCTTTTCAGGAATCCTGCCTTAGGACTGTCCTCAGGAGCGACCTCTAACCCATGCTCATCAAGAACAGGGACAACCCCAAACCGCAAGGGCATGTTGTCTCTTTCGTTTCCGCTTCGGCGGTCCCCGGGCTTCCCCCTGATCCCCAACGTGCCAGTTTTCCGAGCCGTGTCCGGCCGTGGCGGCGTGGGACTCTAGAAATCTCCCCCTTCCCTCCCTCCGACCCTCTGTCCGAATGACAACACCACTCCCCCTCCCTCCCCTGCCCCTTCACTGCGTTCCTCCTTAAGGTATCCCCGCCAGGACCGTCGGATATGTGCTTGCCTAGCGTGCTCCGGAACAGCGTTTCTGGAGCACGTTAGAACGCCCGGGTTGGTGTCGAAGAGGCAGGCCGTTTATGTGCCCTTCCTCGCCGAGTGGACCCCTGCTCCCCCTCTCTCTCTCTCTCCTTTCCCTCCCCTTCGACCCTCTTGCTTTCGACCCACGGCCGAATAAACGCTGCCCCCGAGTCATTCCCCCAGCTGCTATCCCACCCCATGGGATAACGAATTCGTAGGGCATGTCCAGTTTCGGTGTCGAAACTGCGCATGCCGTTTTCGGACCCCTTTTCAGGAATCCTGCCTTAGGACCGTCCTCAGGAGCGACCTCTTCGAGAACCGCGCGCGCCCCCTCCCTCTCGCCCCCCCCGCTGGGTGAGGACCGTCTTTAGGCCTCGCCCGTGAGGACCGCCAATTGGCCTCACACCCCGCGCAGCTTCCATCACAGGGGCTGCGTGGGTTCCCCCCCACACCTATACATGATGGCGTCAGTTGCCACCGGAGGGGGCCGAGGACCTCCCTGCAGCCCCTCGGCCAACGAAGACGGCTGCAGGGAGGGGTCCAAACGTACCTCCACCTTCATGCACCAGTCAACCAATACACCAGAAAACCAACTCCTCATATTCCTCCTCCTCCTCCTCCTCCTCCTGCTCCTCCTCCTTCTCCTCCTCCTCCTCCTCCTGCTCCTCCTCCTCCTCCTCCTCCTGGTCCTCCTCCTCCTCCTCCTCCTCCTCCTCTCCTCCTCCTCCTCCTGCCCAGGAAAGGGGGTGATGGCGCCGAGGCCGCGGCACCGTCGCGCTCCTTGCTGACTCGATCGGTGCCCCGCGGCCGTGTCGCCGTCGGCCGTCTGGCGCGAGACACGCACGAGCTGTCTCCGCACGTGCCCACGCAACGGGGCCCGACGTGTGCAGAACGATCTCGTCGCGTGATGCGAAGTCTCCTCCCCTCCTCCTCCTCTCCCCCCCCCATCTCCTCTTCCTCCTCCACCTCCTCCTCCTCCTCCTCCTCCTCCTCCTTCTCTCCTCCGCCTCCTCCTCCTCCTCCTCCTCCGCCTCCTCCTCCCCGCCTCCGCCTCCTCCACCTGAGATTCGCATCACGTGGCGAATCCCAGTTGCCGACGCTGCCACCGATCTCCCACTATGTGCGCAAGTGATGTGGACCTTTGCTGCCATGCAGTGAGCCAGGGGGGAGGAGAGCCCAGAATCGAATCGAGAAGTCGAACCGGCGATCAAAATGAATCGGATCGGCGAACCTCGGCAGCCGAGCCGGGAGAGAAGCCGAATCGGCAGAGATCGGCAGGCTGGCAGGCCAGCGTCGAGAAATCGGAGCCCAGATCGGAATCCGAGGCCGAATCGGATCGGAAGCGGAAGCCATGCCGGATTTGGTGGCTGCCCGTGGCCGATTCGTGGCCGCCTCAAGTGCTGGATGCGCCACGCAGCTTGCACCACATGCACTGAACCATGCCGCTTCCAGCATATACAGGCTCCGACATGCTTTGCAGTCCAGGACCTGAATGGAAAGCGGGGAGAACACACTGGAAACATCAACGACTGCCAGCGACAGACCGGAGGAATCGAATCGAATCGAACCGGAGGAATCGCAGCGAGCCACGGGGGGGGGGGGGAATCGGCACTCGGAGCCCGGTGTGCCGCCGCCTCTACCCGTGCGACCATTCGGCTCGTCGTTGCCGCCTCCGCTTCTCCTCCTGCTTCTGCTCCTCCTCCCAGCCCCCTGCCTCTGCTCTCCTCCGTACCTTCGTTCAGCGGTTGCCATGGCCTCTCACCTCCCAATATCTTTCTACCCCTCCCTCCTCCTCCTCCTCCTCCTCCTCCTCCCTCCTCCCTCCTCCTCCTCCTCCTCCTCCTCCTCCTCCTCCTCCTCCTCCTCAACCTTCCTCCTCGTGGTCCCTCCGCCTCTTCGTCCTCATCGTCCCACCTCCTCCTCCTCCTCCTCCTCCTCCTCCTCCTCCTTCTTTTCCTCCTCATCTTTCGATGCCGATCGTCTTTCGGAGTGAGCCGCAAGACCTCCGCAGACATCAGTTCAGAAAGCCGGCCATTTGAGTGTGCTCGACTGGGTGAGGCGGTCAAGCATTTTCGACCTGCCTTGATTGTTCAGCAGGGGGAAGGGGGAGTCCACGCCATGCTGTTCGAGCCGTGCTGTATCATTTGGGAGTGCGCTCGGGCGTGACAGCCTGTGCTTCGGGAGCCTGCTCTCCAGGAGCCCTCGAGGCACCCGTACTGCTCTCCCTCGGGGGCTCCACCTTCGCTCCCGCTGGCTCCCGCAGGGCTTCTGCCAACCTTCCGCCAGCGATGCCGCACCTGCTCCACCTCCCCTGGCTGTCAGGGGGCGCTCCGCCAGCTCCCGCCGAGGGACGGGGGCCAAACCCGCGCTCGGCCGACGAGGAGGCCGGCCCTCCCTGAACGGCTCGAACAGTCATGGCGCCAAGGGGCTCTGACGTCACCCGCTAGCTATGGCAAGTTCCGGACACGGACAGCTTTCTGGGAGAAGCGCCCCACACCCGCAGCCCCAGCGCACTGCAGCGCGCACTGCCTCCAAGACAGACGTCGTTATCCTCTAAGACGGGATCGATGTCATGATGCGTTAGGCTCAAGATGCGTCCCAGGCGTTCCGGATCATCTAACAGCCCTCGTGAATGGAGTCCGTGGATCGGCCCATGATGGGCTCGGATCTTCGAACTTTAAGAAGCAGATCATGATTATGACTTCGTATTCTTACTCTTCTGGCTCTCCTCCCGATGCACTAGCGGGGCGGTGATGGCGGCAGTGGAAGCGCCGCAACGTGCCTAGAGTCCAGGAAGGCATCAGGGTGCAAACTCGACTACTCTGGCTGATGCTCTCGGGGAGGCCTGTGCTCAGAGGAGGCGACACAATCGCTCAACGATATGCTGTCAACCAAACGAGCAGGATAGGCCCTTCCCATTCTTATGGGCCCTTCAACTTTGGCTTCGGCTTCAGCTGTGGGTGAATCGTGAAGCGCCTTCGGGCCAACTCATCCGAATCGGTTTTCCGCTCACATGGATACCACCCACCCTCCACTAGCGGCGGGCTGCTGCAGTGGCCCCAAAAGGGGACGATCTGAGCTCCAAGACTGCCCAAAAGGCCACCAATGGCGCCCCAAGAGCCTCCCAAGGAAGCCCAACTGGTAATGTTTCGGGCTCCGAATGGGAGGGTCCACTTTAGGACTCCGCGACGTTGATCGATGTCCTCCAAGATGGCTCCAAGAGGTCCCGAGAAGCCTATATACCAAGTGTGCCCAAAGTGAGCCCCAAGATGGTCCCAAGAGAGCCCTAAAAAGCCACCCGTATTTCCATAAGAGAACCCACAGATGGCCCAAATACGCTTCCAATGAGATCACACATCGAAATTTCCGCGAAGGCAGTTCTGGTTGACTCATGGG